ACATCAATGATAGAGAAAACTAAATACGAATTCAGAGCCACAAAAATGGATCTTAAACATGAGATATATCAAAGTTAAAGTCTGTTAATGTTTTGATCAACCTACAACACAATGTAATTAGTCTTCATAAAGTATCTTCAATTTGAGCTATAATTAATACCCAAATTAATGCTTATCAATATTGCTCTAAATAATTATAAATGATACTTTATAAAATGTTACAATACTAACCGTCATCACCACCCAAATTTGGGTAAATATTCCAGGTACAGGTGATGTAAGGATATCTTGGTGCAAAAACAGCAACTGCCTGTGGAGATGAAATGCATTCATTTTAAACTGGACTGCCCACACTCTGTTTTCATTTTATCAGAATATTTAAAAATTGCCAGTTCCAATGAAAAGTTTAAGCTTCTTCTAGGCAGGGACTGTATTATGGATCTCCATATGATTCTCCACACTTAGCATGGTACCTTGAATATTGTAAGCAATCAGCCAAGATTTGAATTGAGAGAACTATAAAGTTTTAGATATGATATTAATATAACAACTTGTCTGCACATCTGTTTCTTAACCCTTTCATCTGTAAACTAAAATGTCTCTTTTAAAACTCCATTTCTATTTTAAGTATAGACTTGAAAAAGTCTAAGCACTATGAAGACTTCAGCTCTTCTAACTCCTATTTCTTCCATTTTCCTTTCTTTTTTTCTTTTTTTTTTTTTTATTAGTTGGAGGCTAATTACTTTACGTTATTGTAGTGGTTTCTGTCATACATTGACATGAATCAGCCATGGATATACATGTATTCCCCATCCCGTTCCCCTCTCCCACCTCCCTCTCCACCCGATCCCTCTGGGTCTTCCCAGTGCACCAGGTCCGAGCACTTGTCTCATGCATCCAACCTGGGCTGGTGATCTGTTTCACCCTAGATAGTATACATGTTTCGATGCTGTTCTCTTGAAACATCCCACCCAGAAGCACTGGAGAAAAGAGTTTAAGGAACAGTGTAGTTATCAACTACTTCAGTGTCAGAACTATTGACTAGATTCTTTTCCTTCAAAAAGGAAATTTTTTGAAGGAAAATGAAGTGGGTAGTGGTTTTAGTTAAGTATTCAAAAGACAAGTGAACTTACAGTAACAATCATTATACTTCAAATTACCATCAATAATTTTATTAGAAAAGATGGAAAAAACAAAATGGAATAGAGGTAGGAACACAAAAAAAATTATTAATCATCAAGGAAACAAATTTTAAAGGCTAGGAGTGCACGTGTGTAGGGGGTTACGTCAAAATGTGAGATGGGTCAACATGTTTCTGCTAGGCTCATCTTTGTTGGAACTGTGGTGCAGCAGGCTTATGATTTTTTTTTTTAATGTTTATGTATTTGACCGTGCTGGGTCTTAATTGAGGCACACAAGATCTTTTAGTTGCAGTGTGTGAACTTAGTTGTAGCATGCAAGAGCTAGTTCCCCAAAGGGGGATCGAACTGGGCCCCCTGCCCACGGAGCATGGAGTCTTAGCCACTGGATCACCAGGGATGTCCCTAGTACGTGCTTGTACAAGATGTGCCTTTGTCTGACACAACCACGTCTTTGTCTTTCTGTTCTAGCCTCTTTGTCAGTTATTGGGACGATGAGTCAAAGCACCCCTCTCTATGGGCAAGACCACCTTCAATATGAGAGTGAATGGCAGAAAATCTCTCTTAAGGTTTTCTACTTAATTTGCTCCCCTAAGGGGTCACAAGTAAATGCTCAGTGGGTATCAAATTATACCTTAGCAGGAAGGGTACAGATTCCTGGATGTACTTGAGTGTGAAAATACACAGTGGTCAGAAGACAAGTTTTATAAATAAGAGCAAAATGGAGGACACCCAAGAGTATTTTACTTCTGACTCCTAGCCATCTTATAAGTGTTTGCTCCTCTCTAAGAAATTCAATTAGAGATATAATCTTGTTATGTATTCTAAAAATTCTTCCTTGAGTGTCTCAAACAATTTAAGGAATTAATACATGGTGGGTCTTCAGTGTTATACTTTAGGTGTCAACTTCTGGAAGTGTTTTCCAAAGACTATCTTAGGTTAGATATTTCAAGATAATTCTTGGAGAAATACTCTTACATCAATCTGAAAATCTAAAAATTATATTAATCTAAAATGTTTATGGTATCTCCTGAAGTACTTCATAAACAGTAGGTACTTCATAAACAGTTATTAAAGACTATCTCCCAAAACTTAAGACTAAGTTTTTACTTAACCCACTGATTTAATTCATCAATGTCTATAAAATTTTTTAATTAAAATAACACATAGGAAGCCACAAATACAAAGACTCAACAGTGAGATATTCTATATGAAGTACTTTAAATCCTCCCTTAAATGTAATTCAAATATACTTGGTCAGAACAATACTGAATTCCTTTATTCTAAAATTGTATAAACAGATTTAGCAAATAAGTATCTTGCTTTAAAGGCGATACTATTAAAACAGTTCTTACAGATGTAAAAAGTTTAGAAAGTATTAGTTACAAGATTGTGTTTTTTTACCTGCATATCTTCATTTGTCTACTCCTAATCTCAGTGTCTGCCACTCCGTTATTCAATATTATCTTGACAGCACAGAGTTTGTGTAAATCTGGAAGTGTGATGAAGAACAGTGACTGCTGCTTAGAAGCATTCATATTTTCCTGTTGACTGAATGCCTCAGTAATCAGGCCTTTAAAAACAAACAACAATAAAAACATAGTAAACTTTTATTTATTTTACCAATAGGGTAAAGCATTTCAATCCATCACAGAATATTTGATATTGCATTGGTATACAATGGCAAAAACAAGTTTAGCAAATATTAGAGGTTAAATACCACTTACACTTTACCTTTGAGGTTTTCTAATGATAACCTAGAACTTGGGGGGCACAAGTTTTATTAGGATATAATTCATATCACATACAATTCGCCTATTTAACATGTATAATTAAATGGCTTTTACTACATTCACAGAGTTACAACCATCACAATACACTTTAGAACACTCTGCCACTCCAAAAATAAAATCTATAATTTTAAACCTGCAGTTCTATACAACAAATAGAATAATTTGAGTAAAAATATCACAAAGAACCACCAGCAATGTGTATTAAATGCCTACTCTGTTCTGGGTACTAGATATGTTTCTGCTACATTGTTTTTATTTAACAAATTCTTTCTAAAATTTTTGGTTATTAAGTTTCTCTTTGTTTTCAGGAAAACAAAATCTTTCCTATGACAACAATACTTCTTAAAAAAATCAAAATGTATAGCAAAGCCTTCTGCTATTTTAAGTTATCTCTATAAAGCATTTCAAAGCTGAAGAATATATTTTTCACCATTTTACACTAAAGAAAATTGTTCATGGAGATCTTTAAATTGTTATCTAGTTTCCTTTTCCACAAATTCTCTGGCTTTCCAACTTCTCTGTGGGACACATTTTACAGTTGATAATTCACAGGGCATACCTTTCGGGTCTGTCTTACATATAACAGAAAAGAAAACTGCAATGTGAAATGATTTAAGCTCAGTTTCTCTAGGATACACAAACATATCCAGGGAAGGTAACTGGTATTCTGGTACTTCAAACTTTTAAGCATCCACCTATTTTCTCTAAGAAAAGAAGCAGTAACACAGTCCTGGAATCTGGAGTATGACCAGCCTTAGGTCTGATCTCAGTAACCAAATACCCTTGTGGTGCCATTTGACCAATGGTGGCATTGCCCTTCTGGTTCCCACACGTCTTTCTTACTCAAGTACCAGGGTGCTTGAAATTTTTTTCATTAAAGATCATGGAATTCTTTTAAAACTGCAAGTACTCTTATAAAGATTAAAACAAAGTCACACAAGGTGTTAATTAATTTGGTGTACCTAATTAAGAAGATTTCTGATAGTAAAAATAGAAATATTCCTTCCTTCTCTCTGTTTTTCTACTCTCTCTCTCTATGCTAAATGCTTACTGTTGTGGAAAAAAATTTTTTTTAATGAAGTACAAAGTTGCAAGGCCAACACAATCTACTTCACCAAGGTAAAGAGCATCGATAACGAATGAAGTAAAATAAAAAACAAAGAACTGATTACGGCTTGGGCCCAGAAGTACAAAAGTGCACGTTAGTGAAAACAGACAGTTAAAATGCAGAGATTTGATGCTTTCATTTCTGAAACACATTTCCCACTAAAATTACTTTCTGCCTCAGTTTTCCTTTAAATATCTTACAGCAAAGTCACCAAAAAATTCCTGTGAGTGGTCCTCTCTTTCTCTTGTCAACTTCAAAGACTGATCAGAAAATTGCGTGTAAACAACTCTGACCTGTTCGGGAATAGGCAGGAATTTATTTAATTTTATTATTTAGCATTACACGAAAACAATTTTTTTTCAATTAATAACTGGCAGAACTTACAGATTAAAACATACAAATTTCTTGTCCTAGATTGTGTAAGGGCTGCGTTGGAAGGCTCAAAATTCGGATGATCTGTTAACAGATTGTTTAGAGAGTAGCACCTTTTAACCCACTCCAGTATTCTTGTCTGGAGAATTCCATGGACCAAGGAACCTGGTGGGCTACAGTCCATGGAGTCGCAAAGAGTCGGACACGACTGAGCGACTTCACTAACTTCACTTACCTTTCATATCCAAGCTGATTAATGGAAAACGTGCCGGCTACAAAATAACATTTTGACTACATTTCTGCCCTGGTGATAAGTATTACAGTAAGGAACAGGTACCTACAAAATTGTCCATTTGATGACTCAAAATCCCAAGAGAACCAAGGTCATCGTGAGCGCCCAGTCTATGAAGTCAGTGACCTGCTGGTTAAGCAGCGTCCAGCCCTGCCGGAGCTTCACTGGTCCTCCCTCTGTGGGGCCTTGGTGGGAAGAGGCCTGACTGGGGGTCGGATTCCCACCGGCCCTACCCACCGCTTCCAAGGTCAACAGGCAAGTTTCCTCCCCTGGGGCCTCATTTTCTTACGCACCGCATGGAATTGGTGGAAATATCTCCAAGGTCTTTACCTACCGTAAGTGCCTTATTTAAAAGGCGAGTCTATAAATTACTGATTAAATTAGATGCCCTAATATTGGAACCCGTGGGCCTTGGTGAAAGAACGAATCTTGGTTCCTTTCCCTTTCAAAAGCTACAACTATCTCTTCAGCAGGCGCCTCCTGTCAAAGCAAGGCCATCAAAACCGCTCAAGAGGCGACGCTGGAGCCTCGCGGTGAGGCAGCGGCAGGCTGGGAGGCCGGCCTGGAGCAACCTCCGCAGCTCCCTGTCTCCCTCTAGGCTCGTCAAGCAGTTGTCTTCCGGGTCACGCCCAGCCCACCTCAGTCTCCTGGCCTGCGTGTCCTCGTTCCTCAGCGCCCTCCCCGTGGCTCAGGGGTACTGTGTCCAGCATGCCTGGCCATCCCAGACCTCCCCTCACCATCCCTAGCGCCCCCAACTTACCCCAACTTATCCCAGCGTACCCCAGCTCTCTCAGCATAGCCGGAGGGCTCCCAGCATACTCTGCGTGCTCCCAGCATGCTCTGAGCGTTCCCAGCATGCCCCTGTGTACCCGTTTTTCCCGCCATAGCTTTTGCTGGCATGAGCCGTTCATCCTGCACCAACGGTTCTCTGAGAGAGAGCTGGCTTTGGCGTTGGTGTGGCCCGGCGAGAGGCCGCTGCCGTCTCCCAAACAGGGGTAGGATGCATCCTCAGGGTATGGCCTCTGGGGAGGGCCAGTGGCTGAGCCCTGCGCTGACTAAAAGACGGGCTGTCTGGCCTCCTTCCCACTTTTGTTGTGTTTGTTTGAACTTGTCCATAATAAAAAGCTTTGAAAAATTATGTTTTTCAGAAGTAAAATAGATTGAAGATACAGGTCACAAACTGGGAGAAGATATTTTCATGAAAGTAATCCACGAGTGGTTGGTTTACAGACTATATAAAGAACTCTCACAGATCAGTTAGGGTAAGACTGTGTCATAGAAAAAAGCAGTAAAGTCATGAAGAGGTATTTTGCAGAAAGAAGAAGGATGGATCATAAGCCTGTGGAAAGGTACTCAACATTGTTAACTATCAAATCTAAATAAGACCACAATGAGATACCATAGAATTGACAAAATAGTAAGGATTCAGGATTAGATCTCCCATACACTATTGGAAGGCAGGAATGAAAATTTGAAAATAATGTGATGTAATCTTCTGAAGTTGAATACTGTAACATACCCTTAGACTTAGAAATTCCTTCTATACACGTTCCCTAAAGAGATTCTTGCATATGTGCACCAAGAAATATATTTGTAGCAGCATTGTTTGTTGAATAAAGTTAGTAGCTACAAGCAAACAAAATCCCAAATGTTCAGGGACAAGGGAATTGATGGATAAACTGAATTATATTTACATAATTATATATTATATGGCAAACAAAAAATAATGAACTACAGTTATGTGCAACCACATGGGTAAATCTTTCAAAATTAAAATGTGAACGTATCATAAGTATACACTTGGATGGTTTTTCAAAGATGACCATCCTTATATACCTACCACCCAGATCTAACAGTAGAACATTATCTGTATCTAGGAAGTGCCCCTGGTGCCCTCTCCTAGTCACTTACCCACTTCGTTCAAGGTAACTAGTGTCCCAGCTGCTAACACCATACATTAATTTTGCTTGTTTTGAAGCTTTATATTAATGGAATCATACAACACAAACTCTCCTGTTTCTAGCTTCTTTTGTAAATATGTTCGTAAGATGCATCCATATTGTTGAGGGTAGCAGTATTTTATTCATTTTCATTGCTGGATGGGATTCCATTGTGTGTATATATTTATCCTTTCTGAGGTTGAAGGACAATTAGATTGGTTCTAGTTTAGAATTATTATGAAGAATGCTGCTAAGACCATTCTTGTTCACTTGTTATGTTCACCTTCTGTTCAATATGGATGAATTTTTAAAAACATGATTTTGAATGGGGAGGAAAGTTCCAGAAGACTACATACAGTATAATCCCATTTTTATAAAGCTCAATCATTCTCCAAGAAAGCTGAATAAATTGTTTGTTGATATATCCATATGTGAAAAACTGTTTGTTTTTACTAAGCAAGGATATGATGAACAGAATTCAGGATAACAATGATTTTGGGGAGGCAGAAGAATGGGATATGGGAAGAGCCCACAGTCCCCAAGTCAAGTGAAGTGTTCATTGGTATTTATTTATAGTACTTGACAGAACTCTGTTAGCCTTTGCCCTGCTTCATTTTGTACTCCAAGGCCAAACTTGCCTGTTACTCCAGGAATATCTTGACTTCCTACTTTTGCATTGCAGTCCCTTATGAATAAAAGGACATCTTTTTTTGATGTTAGTTCCAGAAGGTCTTGTAGGTCTTCATAGAACTATTCAACTTCATCTTCTTCAGCATTCGTGGTTGGAGCATAGACTTTGATTACTGTGATATTGAATGGTTTGCCTTGGAAATGAACTGAGATCATTCTGTCATTTTTGAGATGGCTTCAAAATATATATGCACATCCACTTACATCCATAAGTAATGATATAATGTTTTATACATAATGATGTAATGTTTCATACATAATAGTGGCCACCTGGGCTCCCAGGTGGTAAAGGATCCCCCTGACAGTGCAGGAGACATGAGACACAGGTTCGATGCCTGGGTTGGGAATATCCCCTGGAGGAAAGCATGGTAACCCACTCCAGTATTCTTACCTGGAGAATCCCATGAACAGAGGAACCTGGTGGGCTACAGTCCATAGGGTTGCAAAGAGTCAGACACAACTGAAGTGATTTAGCATGGCAAGAATTTTCATTCAGGGAAAAACTTTCCTCACAGGATACGTTTTGATGACAAGCTTGTTGGCAAGCCTATTCAGTTTTCCAGATATGAGTTACTTAAGTTTTCCTTTATCTCACTCACAGGCCTTCAAGATGGGATGGAATCCTAAGAATTCTGCCTGATAGTTTGACTGTATATATCTCTTTTATGAAGATTAAGATCATTGTATTGGTTTAGATTGTGTTTAAATTGTCAGGACATGCAAAGATAAGACCATATTTTGTGAGTAGCCAAGTACCACATGAAGATGAAGGTCACTTCTAAAAAAAACTACCTGGGGAAGAGTCAGCTGTTTAGACAGGAAACTGGAACTAAGATGACAAAACTTTGATGTTTTTAGGTCTGGGTTCAGCATGTCTGGAATTTGAAGAATTTGGATGTCTAAGATTGTATTTATGGGCAGAATATAATCCACTGCCCTCAAACACACAGAGGGAGAGGTGGACTTGGTAGGGTGGGTCCCTAAAAAGGGTCCTCACTGGGTGTGAACCTCACAATCACTTGAGGTTTGACAATCAGACAGACTTTTGAATTGGCATCACTGCTTCGTTTATTAAAGGTGAATGAACTATGTCAGGTTCTCATAGTGGAAAATTCTTTTATGCTATCCTTTAGTAAAGTTCATTTGAATATTCTGGCCCTGCTGTAAAAAGCAAAGAAAGGGTTCTGTCCACACGGATGCCCGTGAGTCAAGGAGACAACGTAGCATTCACAGGAGGTGCTGGGGAGTGGTATCAGCAATCAGAGAGAGAATCGGGGACAGAAGGATATGGAGGGATGCAGTTGCATACCTGGAAACAAATGTTTACTTCCTTCTAGCATCAGGCTCAGATGTCCTGTGTGTGCATGAGTGCTAAGTGGCTTCAGTCATGTCTCACTCTTTGTGACCCTATGAACTGGGCCCTCCAGGCTCCTCTATCCGAGGAATTCTCCAGGTAAGAATACTGACGTGGGTTGCCATGCCCTCCTCCAGGGGATCTTCCCAACCGGGGATCAAACTCATGTCTCATTACATCTCCTGCATTGGCAGGCGGGTTCTTCACCACCAGCGCCACCTGGGAAGCCCTAGAGGTCCTAGATGGCAATTTTATTCTGGTAGGAAACTGAGTTTCTGACATTGGGCTCCCAGCTTTTGAGAACTCTACTGCCCTCTCCATCATCCATGTTACTTGTCTGCTTAGGTGGCTGCATTGAGCACTTTGGACTAGCGTTAGATCCACTCATGCATTTTAAATTATTTACATTCTGCTGTTTGCTTTTACCTTCTTTCCCCTAATTTCCTAGACCTAGAAAGAAATAAAACACTTTGACTTTTAATAGTGTTACCAAACCAGGTTTGTCTGACATGCAGCAAGCCAAGTGAGGTTTGGCAGAGAAAGGGTTTATTCTCAAGGCCACCAAGTGAGGAGATGGGAGAACAAATCTCATATCCACTTCCCCAAAGACAAGGCACTTGGGATAGTTATGGGATAAATCTGAGGTGGCAGGAACATGGGGAAATTGGAGGCAAGAAAGATGAGGTAATCATCATTGTGCAGCTAAGCCCCAGACTTCTTCATGGGACACATGCTCAGAAAATAGTGGCATTAGTATGTTTTTAGGGTGGAGGTTTTGGCCTTCTGATATTAAAGGTCACCAAGTGGACACTTTTACTATCTTAACCAGTCTTAACTGGCTGGAGATTGAACTGGACACAGCTGACCCCAAGTTCCTAATAAACAACTTGGGTAAACATCTGTTATTATTTAGGCCATGTGACACTTACACACAAGATTTTGTAAAAACAAAGCAAACTTGATCAGTAATAGCAGGTTACAGGTGTAATAGAACTAACTGATGATTACCCCCAGTTTCAGTAGGTGTCCACAGAAACATTAAAAACTTGGCTGATATTCTTGCTAGTGACAGATAAATTAATCCATATTTCTCAGTATGATTATTGTATAATTATGGTTTTTCCAAGTACTTACGTGCCCTCTTCTGTATCACATTTATACCCTTATTCATTCAAAAATATTTGTTGAGCATGTGCTGAGTGCCAGGCACTGTGCTAGGCTCTGAAGATACAGATGTGACTAACCATTGCTGTCCTTGAGGAACTTTTGGTCCAGTGAGAGAGAAAGACACAAAGACCGGTGATGTTGTGAGTGCATGATAGTCATGACTGGAGAATAAAGGAGCAGAGAGAGCATTACTTGGAGGGGAAAGGTGTGGTCAGCACATGCCTCAACCACAATTGACTCCTAAGCTGAGTCAAAAAGGGCCCTGAGTCTTCGGCCAAGATAAAGGGGGTAAGGAGAATAAGGGGTAAGAGGTAAACTTATGGTAAGTGGCAGAGGACAGGGCTTGAGCAAGGATATGAAAGTGAGGAAAGAATGCTACATGTGGGAGATCTAAAAATAGCTCACTGTTGCTCGGCTATGAGGCTTGAGGGGGAAATGACAAAGGATGGAGCTAGAGAGAGGAAGCAGATATTGAATGATCTTGGATGATCTTCAAATTCTCAGTAAGGAATTTGAACTTTAGTTGTTGGGAGACATTGGAAGGTATTAAACAAGTATTCTCTGATGGTAAAGAATCTGCCTGCAATGCAGGAGACCTGGGTTCCATCCCTAGGTTGGAAAGATCCCCCTGGAGATGGGAATGGCAACCCACTCCAGTATTCTTGCCTGAAAAATCCCATGGGCAGAGAAGCCTGGCAAGCAACAGTCCTTGGGGTTGCAAAACATTAGAAACAACTGAACAACTGATAGTAACACAGACAAGTAATGATGTGATCAGATTTTAGTTTGGGGTTCACTACTGATGGAAGATGGGTCTCAGAAGTTCAAGACTAGAGGCTGGAAGAAACTGTAAGGGAGTTATTGTAAACAGATAGGCAGCTAATCATGAAAGGCAAATCTGGGGCGGTGGTAGTAGGGATAAAGAGGAGATTGACCTGTATGATTCCCAGTCTTCTGACTTGGCGGGCCTGATGATGATAACACCATCAGCTGTATTTCATAGAACTGTCTAGAACCCTGAACTCTACAAAGTTAAATAGTGTATCTGGAATTTTCCTTATCTATACAATTTTACTCTGTTCTATTTACTTGTGCTGGAGACAAAAAGATTTTTAAAAGTAAATTTAATATTGCAATCATGTACAATCAAACATTTAATCTTTTTATTTACCTGCTCCTACTTAAAGATGGACATATTAAATACAAGGAAATATGTAGGAATACATACAAGGAAATATGCCTAAAAATGTATTTACAATAAGATTTCCTACATATAATTAGCTTGCCTTGTCTGAAGTTACTGAGGAAAGTTGCCCTACCTCAGCAGTGAACTTACGACATTTGTATTCTTTGTGATAAGATGATATCTGTTACTCTCTGCTCCTCATTTCTGCCTCTGACATTCAATTGATTAGAGATTATCAGCTGACATTCTGGTGTGTTATAAATATACATGGGTAAAAACAACTTTCAAGTCTATTTTAAAGTGAATGAAACTTTAAAAAATTTAGTAAGCTTTGGAAATTATTGCTAATAGATGGGGAATTGTTTGGAAATCAACTACATAGGGTATATATACTAGAGAAATAGGTGTTTTTTAGAAGGGAACAGTTAACCTATGCTAACGTATTTAAAAGACACGGGTTTAATGCCAATTATCCATGTAGATAATTTGAATAGGAGTCCATCTTTGTAAAGTGCCCATTTGTCAAGGGAGTCTGCTTTCTATGGTTATAGCAAATATAATGATTTGTCAATGGGAAGTAAGGAGCTGCTGAAGTGTGTCTTGTGCATGAGTGGCAGGAGGAATTAGAAAAGGAATAAAAACTGTAATGATGTTTCCTTATTTTTGCTTTTTAGTAGAAGAGTGATTGCTTTCTACAGTGTATTTCACCTGAGGAACTTCAGGAGTAGAGTTGGTTTTCTAAATGTTCATTAAAATTTCTTTGCTGGAGGGAACGTCAGGAAGTTTGTAAATATCTGTATTCCTTTTAATTTCTTAGATTTGTTTCTAAGTTTGCCTAAATTTACTTCACCTTGGTGGAGATGGAAATGGCATCCCACTCCAATATTCTTGCCTGCAGAATCCCGTGAACAGAGGAGCCAGGGGGCTTGCGGTCCATGGGGTCACCCAGAGTTGGACACGACTGAAGTGACACACTTCACCTTGGAGCACTTGCTATGTAGGATGTTTCCTTATACCTGCGTTTTAAAGTAAGGAAGTCTTGTTTGATAATAGCATTTGCTAAAATCTGTTGATTTCTTTCTTTGTTCCAGACCCTGGCTAAATATTTTATAAGCAATGCCTTAGAGAGTTAACTGATTAGGTCATAGTCATGCATCTGATAGTTACTAAACCAGGAATGGGATCCAGGTCACTGGCACCAAAGTTTTGTTTTAAGCACTTCTGGAGTTATTCAGAACTGGCACTGAAATCTCAAACAGTCTTGACACTGAATTAGAGAGGCAGTTGTCACTGACACACTGCTCTGCCAGAGTCCTGGGGAGATTTAGCAGACCTGGGAACTGTTAGGGAAATGGTATACATAACCTGATTTACTGTTTTTAAAGCATTTAGGACAGTTTTAACACTAAATACATGTATTTGAAAAGAAGAAAAATCCCAATTCAGTAATCTAAACTCTCACCTCAAGAAACTAAGAAAAAAAAGGAACCCAAAGCAAGCAGAAGACTCAATAAAGGGCAGAAATCAGTGACCAAAAAAAGAAAAACACTGGAGAAAATCAGAGGCCAGAATCGAGCTCTTTGAAACAAATCAGTAAACCAACAACCTTGTAAATTAACTATACTTTTTTAATTTATTATTTTAAATTATTTATTTTAATTGGAGGCTAATTACTTTACAATATATGGTGGTTTTTGACATACATCGACATGAATCAACCATGGGTGTACATGTGTCCCACCATCCTGAACCCCCCTCCACACCCCTCCCACCCCATCCATCTGGGTTGTCCCAGAGGACTGGATTTGGGTGCCCTGCACCATGCATCGAATTTGTACTGGTCATCTATTTTACATATGGTAATACACATGTTTCAATACCATTCTCTCTTATCCTCCCACTTTTGCCTTCTCCCACATAGTCCAAAAGTCTGTTATTTACATCTGTGTCTCTCTTGCTGTCTTGCATATAGGGTCATTGTTACTGTCTTTCTAAATTCCATATATATGCATTGATATACTGTATTGCTGTTTCTCTTTCTGACTTACTCTGTATAATAAGGCTCCAGTTTCATTCACTTCATTAGAACTGACTCAAATGCATTTTTATAGATGAGTAATATTCCATTATGTATGTGTACCACAACTTCCTTATCCATTTGTCTGCCAATGGACATCTAGGTTGTGTCTGTGTCCTGGCTATTGTAAAAGTGCTGCAGTGAACATTGGGGTGCACGTGTCTCTTTCAATTCTGGTTTCCTCAGTGTGTATGCCCAGCAGTGATATTGCTGGGTCATATGGCAGTTCTTTTTTTTTTTTTAAAGGAATCTCCACACTGTTCTCCATAGCAGCTGTACTAGTTTGCATTCCCACCAACAGTGTAAGAGGGTTCCCTTTTCTCCACACCCTCTCCAGCATTTATTCTTTGTAGACTCTTTGATGGCAGTCATTCTGACAGACGTGAGATGGTACCTCATTGTGGTTTTGATTTGCAGTTCTCTGATAATGAGTGATGTTGAGCATCTTTTCATGCGTTTGTTAGCCATCTGTATGTCTTCTTTGGAGAAATGTCTGTTTAGTTCTTTGGCCCATTTTTTGATTGGGTTGTTTATTTTTCCAGAATTGGGCTGCATGAGTTGCTTGTATATTTTGGAGATTCTTTGTCAGTTGCTTTGTTTGCTATTTTCTCCCATTCTGAAGGCTGCCTTTTCACCTTGCTTGTAGTTTCCTTTGTTGTGCAAAAGCTTTTAAGTTTAATTAGGTTCCATTTATTTATTTTTGTTTTTATTTCCATTATTCTGGGAGGTAGATCATAAAGGCTCTTGCTGTGATCTATGTTAGAGAGTGTTCTGCCTATGTTTTCCTCTAACAATTTCATAGTTTCTGGTCTTACATTTAGATCTTTAATCTATTTTGAGTTTATTGTTGTGTATGGTGTTAGGAAGTATTCTAGTTTCATTCTTTTACAGGTGGTTGACCAGTTTTCCCAGCACCACTTGTTATAAACAGATTGTCTTTTCTCCATTGTATATTTTTGCCTCCTTTGTAATTTTTTTTAAAAAGCACATTGAAAAAAAGAAAAGAATTACGTATCATAAGCAGGTAGGGCTTATTTCAGAGATGCAAGGCTGGTGCAGTATTTGAAAACCTGGCCCACTCCATCATGGGAAATGGATAGAGAGTATTTGGAATGTTTGGGAACATTCTTGGCCTTGCATTCCTACGGAGGCGACAAGCAAGCGGGTAGGGAACCAGCAGCAGCAGCAGCGAGGGGACAGAGCTGTGCCGGTTCCTGTTCCCTGGGGGATGACCTACACGTGTAATCCGCCGTGTCCTTCTTTTGGAAGTAAATACGGTTGCTGAAAAAGCCCTTAACAAAAATCAGACTACCTTTTTTTTTTTTTTTTTTTACCGTGAGGGAATTCTCTCCCCCGCCTTTTTAAAATGGAACATTCGTAAATCTTCCTATGGATGCTCAGCTGGGGAGGTACTGCTCCAGGCTCTATTCCAAGAGCTATCAATCATTTAGAATTTACCTTAAACAATATGCCAGTGAGAAAAGACAGAAGACACTAATAGAAGTGCTCGCCTACTCAGCGGTCAAGAGAGAATCACTTCAGAGCGACCGACGGCCTCAGAACCTTCACTTGAGGCCGCTTTTTGCTTTTACGGAACAGTTCCCGGGTTGTTCTTTTTCTTTTTTTCTCCTGAGAGAATGGGGCAGTTCTGGGGCGGAGGGGATGGGTCAAGCAGTCACAGAGCCCTGCTCCGGGCAGCACGCTCGTCCGGCCGAGGCGAAGCGGGAAACTGCGTGTCCACGTCCACCAGGTTGCTCTGCATCTCTCAGCCTCGCAGTCCACGCCTACACTCGCTGCGGAAGGACTCTTACAAATTAACGAATGCCCAGGTCTGACCGGATGGGGAAACCGCGGCGATTTTGATGTGGGGTCGATGCCCTGCACAAGGTGGACCCTGCCCGGTCCACGCGACCCCGGACCCCGACCCCGGCGCCACCGCCTTCGGCGCAGACGCGGGGAAACCCCGCCCCCCGCGTTCTTCTAAGCTGTGATTGTGAAGGGCACCTTCTTCAGCCAATCAACACCCGCTCACTGGGCGGGGCCCGCCGGGTTGGTGGAGAGTGTCGGTCGGGGGGCGGGGCCCTTGAGCGACAGGAATTCTGACCAATCATCGGAGGCCATGCTTCGGCCCCTCCCCTCCTCCGTGCGGGCAGCCCTGCCTGGGAGCTGATCCCGACAGCGGGGAACGTCCCAGGGCGAGTTCGCAGAGACTGACGCTCTTCTCCGTCCCGCTCTCCTGCTGCCTTTAGGGCCTTAGGCTCGCTGCCTTAAGAAATGGCCGAGGAGTCCAGCAAAGCCGTTAAGTACTACACGCTGGAAGAAATCCAGAAGCACAACCACAGCAAGAGCACCTGGCTGATCATACACTACAAAGTGTACGATTTGACCAAATTTTTGGAGGAGGTGAGTTGATGGAGGCAGGATGCTGACCGGGGCTTGGGGGGCTCCCTGCCGAGACTTGCCTCGGGGGGGCGGGGTTGATCTGCGCAAGACTCCGCGTGCACACCTGAGTGTGGTCACCCGCGCGGGAGCAGCGGGCTCTGCACACCTGGGAGCTCTCCCCTCATCCACACGCCTGTGTCTCTGCCTCCCTCTGTGTGCGCGCTCCCTGAGTGCACAGCTAGGAGCGGACTCCGAATTTGTACCCCCTGAGTCTGCGCGCCCGCGTGTGCGTCCCCGGAGGCTGCACCTCCGAGTGTGAACACCTGGGGGCGACCGGAGGTGCATAGGTGCCGCGGCCAGGTAAGCCAGTTTCGCAGCCGCGACGCGCCCTCGTAGGGCGGGAGCCGCCTCCCAGGACCGTGCGCGGGCAGGTGGGAGATCCCCGCTTCGCACTTAGTGGGGAGCAAAGTTGCACGTGGAGTTGAGGGCGCAACCACGGGAGGATTTTTGAAGGTCCTGTTTATCTTGAGTTTGCATAGGCCAGGTCTTCATCTAGGACCAGGGTCTTGCCACTTATTATTCCTGGATTGGATTCCTAAATGGAGCCGGTGCTACTCCGCCATCCACGCCCAGTCACCCACTGTTCACCTAGAAGGCGCCCAGTGACATTTAAGGTATCCAGTGCTGACTTCAGTAAGGCGCAGTACTGGACTCCAGCGAGCGGCTGGGGTGGGGGTTGGGGTTAGGGGGGCGAGGGGCTGAGGAAGGAGGGAGGTACAGATAAGTGAAAAGAACCAGTGCGACTTCACCCTTAGACAGCTTTGAGAATTGTAAAATGGCTGGGTAACTTAGAGGAAAGCAATCCTTTGCCTTTATTCTTTGCATTGATTATAGTTTTTTGCAATAAATTCTAAGAGGTTTTTGTTTGCTACTTCTGGTTGTTTTGTCACTGTGTGTGTGTGGGAGGGGGGTTCAGTCATAAATTTTTTTTTAAACAATTTTTTTATTGGAGTATAATTGCTTTACAATGTTGTGTTAGTCTCTGCTCTACAACCAAGTGAATCAGCTGTATGTATACATACATCCCCTCCCCAAATATATTTTTTAACTGAAGGATAATTGCGTTACAGAATTTTGTTGTTTTCTGTCAACATGTAACACTCTCCTTCATTCCCCCAGACAATAAACAGGAATGTTTAGTGATGGGAATTCTTTACATAGCTTGTGAGAAAAATGAAGATAGAGGCCTGGTCTGAGCTGGATCACAATTTGTATCAGAATCATTTGTTTTGCAGAGAATGTTTAATTTTTTTAAAGTTTGAAGTTGTTTATTAGTAACATATTTTACTGTTAAATTGTCACTAGGTGATGTACCAGAAGATAAAATAGTGTCTTGATGTGGTTAAGAGTGGTTTATAGCAGAGGGTCAGATCTGTCCTATCCCTTCTGCTGAGCGACAGAGCTCATTTGCTATTAGACTTTCTTGAACAATCTTGCATCATAACATCAGGCCTAATTGATACTAGATGTCTACTTACAACTGTTCCTTCCCCATTCCCAGGGTGTGTATAATTGTGGGATTTTAAAATCCAGTGTGTATATACTTTATTGGTGTCTATAAAAAAGAATAGTATGAAAAAGTGAAAGTGAAGTCGCTCAGTCATCTCCGACTCTTTGCGACCTCATGGACTGTAGCTGGCCAGGCTCCTCCGTCCAGGCAAGAGTACTGGAGTGGGTTTCCATTTCCTTCTCCAGGGAATCTTCCCAACACAGGGATCGAACCCAGGTCTCCCGAAGTGTAGGCAGGTGCTTTACCGTCTGAGCCCCCAGGATGTTTTATTTAATGAAGCACTTGCCACTTTTTCTCTTTTGTAGGGTCTGTCGTGTTCCTTGCTGCCTTGCTCACCAGCCGTCAGTATCATCCCCACCCCCTCACCCCCACCCCAAGACAACCAAACATGTCTCCAACTCTTGTCAAATGTCCCCTTGGGGAGAACAAAGTCACTCCTAGTCGAGAATCACTGCCCTAAGGTATATCTTGCATGACTTTTTTAATGGATACATTTCTCAGAAGATAAGAAATTACTAAACTGCACTATAAACCATTTACTTTTATATTTAATTCTTATGAGGCAGAAAAAGAATTGCACAAAGTTTCTAAACAAAACCAGAAGAGATGCAAACCAGCTGTTCAGTGGGTCAATTAGCCGCCAGCAAATTCTGTTTATTTCTCACTCAGTTTTCAAGACTCTGTTTAAAAGGAGCTTGGGGAGAACGTCTCTCAAGAAAAAATGTGATGAATTGCATTTATCACTAATATTTGATAACTAATACTTGTAGCTAGGTAACTCAAAACTACTGTTTGTAGTAAGATAAATAAAAACAAATTTATAGTGGTTCCTGTATACCAAACTTTTCTTTGGGCTTCCCTTGTAGCTCAGTCGGCAAAGAATCTGCCTGCAGTGCAGGAGACCCGGGTTCGATCCCTGGGTTGGGAAGATCCCCTGGAGAAGGAAGTGGCAACCCACTCCAGTATCCTTGCCTAGAAAATCTCATGGACAGAGGAGCCTGGTGGGCTGCAGTCCATGGGGTCACAAAGAGTCGGGCACGACTGAGCGACTAACAAAGTGCTCCTTCAGAGCATATTATCTACCTGTAACGCATTTGAGTCAGTTCTAGTGAGGTGGATGAACCTAGGGGCAAAGTAAGTCAGAGAGAAAAACAAACATTGTATATTAATGCATATATATATGTATATATGGAATCTTGAAAAATGGTATTGATGAACCTATTTTCATGGAAGGAATGGAGACACAGACAGACAGCAGACTTGTGGACACTCTGGAATAGGAGAGAGTGGGACAGGTTGGGAGAGCTGCTTTGAAACATGCACATCACCATATGTAAAACAGATAGCCAGTGGGAGTTTGCTCTTTGACACAGGGAGCTCAAATCCTGTGCTCTGTGATAACCTAGAGGATGAGGTGGGAGGTGGTAGGGAGGTTCAGGAGGGAGGGGACATATGTGTACCTATGACTGATTCTCATTACTGTATGCCAGAAACCAACACAACATCAAAAAGCAGTTATCCGCCAATTGAAAAAAAAAACAAGTCTACCTTGACTTGAGTTTGGAACACCACTACCCTCTGGTACTAACACCATTCCTTTTGATCAGTGGTCCAGAATCTGCTGAGTTCTTATCATGGAGACTGTGGAACTTGAGAGGAAAGAGATACCATTTCTATTCTCAAAAGCTTCCATTTGAGGAAGCAGGAATAGCACAGTAAACAATGCAGTGGGCAGGGATTTGAGCACAGAAAGCTCTGCTCTACCAGCCAGAGTCTAGTTCAGTGACGGGGCGTGGACCCAGAGCAGCTGTGTGAGGCGTCAGGCTTGGTGAGTAGGACCTAATGTCAGCGGTAACAGATGGTCTTCCACAGCTGGTCTGGGTTAGGGTAAGCACCAGGACAGTGGCTGTGCAGTGGGGCCTCTCCGAGGGGTGAAGGCATGCAGCGAGGAGAGAGGCTCACCAGCCAGGTCTCTAGCTGGTCATCGGCAGTGCTGGCTTCCCAGAACATCTGATTTTACTTCGGAGGGGCCAGCTGTTCTATTTGCTGTTATCACTGGTTTCCCTTTCTGGGACCATCTCTGATTAATGCCGTGTCATATTCTCTGGCTTCTTGCCCCCTAGCCCAGCCATCCTGATTCCCTGTGACTTCCTGCATCTTAAACACACATTTCATTCAGAGACCTGCAGGGGGCTCTGCCGGTATTTCACTTCTTCCTAGACTCCTCCTATTCCATCACTTTATTATTCCAGTGCTGTTTAATTCCATCCCTTCTTCTGAAACAAAGAGCCCGGAAGATCTGTTTCTTCCTGCTTGCACTGCTTCCTTTCTTTCATCATTTAAACTCCAGAAATTCATTAAAGTTTCACATGCTAACTAGAGAATATTCTGTGTGTGTGTGTCCAGTTGCTAAGTCTCTCAGTCCAACTCTTTTTTTTTTTTAAGTTTTTTTTTTTTTCATTTACTTTTATTAGTTGGAGGCTAATTTCTTTACAATATTGTAGTGGTTTTTGTCATACATTGACACGAATTAGCCATGGATTTACATGTGTTCCCCATCCCGATCCCCCCCTCCCACCTCCCTTTCCACCCGATCCCTCTGGGTCTTCCCAGTGCACCAGGTCCAAGCACTTGTCTCATGCATCCAACCTGGGCTGGTGATCTGTTTCACCCTAGATAATATACATGTTTAGATGCTGTTCTCTTGAAACATCCCACCCTCGCCTTCTCCCACAGAGTCCAGAAGTCTGTTCTATACATCTGAGTCTCTTTTTCTGTTTTGCATATAGGGTTATCGTTACCATCTTCCTAATTCCATATATATGTGTTAGTATACTGTAATGGTCTTTATCTTTCTGGCTTACTTCACTCTGTATAATGGGCTCCAGTTTCATCCATCTCATTAGAACTGATTCAAATGAATTCTTTTTAATGGCTGAGTAATATTCCATGGTGTATATGTACCACAGCTTCCTTATCCATTTGTCTGCTGATGGGCATCTAGGTTGCTTCCATGTCCTGGCTATTATAAACAGTGCTGCGATGAACATTGGGGTGCACGTGTCTCTTTCAGTTCTGGTTTCCTTGGTGTGTATGCCCAGAAGTGGGATTGCTGGGTCATATGGCATATTTCCAGTTTTTTAAGAAATCTCCACACTGTTTTCCATAGAGGCTGTACTAGTTTGCATTCCCACCAACAGTGTAAGAGGGTTCCCTTTTCTCCACACCCTCTCCAGCATTTATTGCTTGTAGACTTTTGGATAGCAGCCATCCTGACTGGCGTATAATGGTACCTCATTGTGGTTTTGATTTGCAGTTCTCTGATAATGAGTGATGTTGAGCATCTTTTCATGTCTTTGTTAGCCATCTGTATGTCTTCTTTGGAGAAATGTCTGTTTAGTTCTTTGGCCCATTTTTTGATTGGGTCATTTATTTTTCTGGAGTTGAGCTG